ACATGTACTTTTCGAGTATTTTGTGGTTACCATAAACGTCAAAAGAATAAATTCACTGATCGTTATCGCCGTTTTGAGTAATGTGAGAGTGTTTTGTGGATATTTGAGTATTCTCGTAAAGCGTAAATGTTACCTGAATGAACCTCTTTCGAATCTGAAGACAACAGATCCTATTAAATATTGGCATAGGCATCAACAATTTAAACAAAGTTGCTCAAAAGTCTTTATGTGTGTTAGGAACATCAATTCCATCCGAGAGACTATTTTTTCGAACAGGAAATCTGATGACTCCTGATAGAAAAAAAAAGTGGAAAAATGTCAAATAAACTCGTATTTTTGAATAGTTTTAAATCTTAGAATTTAAATATTAACAATTTTAAGTTCCAAACAATGTTTATATTTAAAATAAAGATTAAATTTTTTGTCTATTTTTTATTAATTAAATTTAATTTTATATTTTACATAAAAAGAATCGATCTTCGATCTTTACGAGATCGATATTTTTTCCTCCCGATTTTTCTTGTATCGATCTTTGGCTCCACCATTTGGATCGATACTAAGAATCGATCTTTCTTGCCGAGATCGGAAACCCTAAACTGAAAACCTGTCTCTGCACTCAGTTCACAAAAATGCGCACCAGTTCATTTTTTTGAGTTCAACTGATTCCAACCGAAAATTCAAAAACTGATCCGGTTCGCACTGCCCTTGCGAGTCGAAAACAAATGTTGCACTGAGTGTTAAAAAGTGCGCACCAGTTTCACCAGTCGAAAACGCTATAATAAATAACCATTTAATAAACACACCATTTACTTCACTTGTCTGTTTCACACAGAATTATTTCATTTCTCTGCTAATTTCACGTATTAATACGTCAATGCGCGTGCGCCTATAGTAAATTTAGTACTAAAAATTGGTATATCGTTGCAAACGGAAAAAAAATATTTTTAGTTCTAAATTTAGTACTAAATTAATAACTTAATTTAGTGCTAAATTTAGTACTTAATTTAGTATCGTGACATACAGCCTTTAGGCATTCCAAACTGAATGGCTACCAGTGACCAATGAACTGGAGTGGGGTAGAAAGCTAATGTGCATATTTTATCAATTGAACAAGATGCGACTCTATGGGCGCAGCCATTTTTATTTCTCATCTCACTCGGGAGTATTTATAATAATCATTTTCTGTTTCACATTGTTATTGTTCAATCCACAGGCTGGTGGATCAGACAATAACAAAGTGAAATAGAAAATGGTCGTTATAAATACTCCCGAGTGAGATGAAAAATAACCTGTCTTCGCCCATAGAGTCGCATCTCAAGCCTATTGACAAGCATTCTACTCCACTCCAGTTCATTGGTTCTGACGGGTTATGATATGGCAAAATTATGGCAACCCTGTAGGCCTGGAGATTTGACAAGGTCAATGAAATAGATAGTTACATAGATTGATCATCCATATTTTTCAAAATAAACATAAACTTATGCCTTGAAGTAAAAATGTAAGCAATTATTTTTTTTTAATATCTAAAGGCTAAAAATTGGTTTTAAAACACATTTTTGCTAAACCGATTCAAATTAATAAATATTTGCCTGGCAATATGGCCGCTCGTAAACGACCAACTCTGAGCAATCTATATAACTATATATGTATCATTGACCCTGTTAATAGGTCTTTTCCTTTGCATCGAAAGTGTAGCAATGGCTGCGTTCATCCGCGCCACATGCTACCTGATCGATCTGGTAGCGCTCTCGAGTGGCACGTATGAACGGTGTATTTTGACATTTCGCTCAAGGAGCGGCCGCCATTAAAAGTAGCGCATTTTATTTACGTCTGATCGGTGATCACTGATCTGTCTTACGCACTTACGTCCACGGTTTGCTTGGTGACTAGTAGGGTTATATTAGCATATTAGCAATTGAAAAATAAACAAACAAATCTTCAACCAGAGACATTCAACTCAAAAGTAAAATGAATAAACCAAAATCAAATGTCACTTTTAAACATGGTTCATCCGTGCATAAAGATCGATCAGGTAGCGTAAGTGATCGCTACTTTTGTAGCGCTCCTTGAAATGGCGCGGATGAACGCAGCCATTGAGCTACACCACTTCTGAAAATATCGTTCCATTTATACAAATTGTATGGATGGAACGGTATTTTCAGAAGTGGCGTAGCTCAGTGCTACACTTCCGATGCAAAGGAAAAGACCTATTGACAACATGACAACAGGGTTGCCATATCAAAACTGTCATTACCCACTGGTAGCCATTTGGACAGGTCGTTGGAATGCCTAATATTGTTAGGAACTCAGACGCTCCTTTCTACTCTACTCCAGTTCATTGGCTTTCTACCATCGAGATAAAATGTATTCTAATCTCGATGCTTTCTACCCAGTCCCTTTAGTCCAGTTTCACTTTCCTCTAATCAGTCTAATCTATGGGTCCAGTGCAATGAACTGGAGTGGGGTAGAATGCTTGTCAATAGGCTTGAGATGCGACTCTATGGGCGAAGACAGGTTATTTTTCATCTCACTCGGGAGTATTTATAACGACCATTTTCTATTTCACTTTGTTTTTGTCTGATCCACCAGCCTGTGGATTGAACAATAACAATGTGAAACAGAAAATGGTTATTATAAATACTCCCGAGTGAGATGAGAAATAAAAATGGCTGCGCCCATAGAGTCGCATCTTGTTCAATTGATAAAATATGCACATTAGCTTTCTACCCCACTCCAGTTCATTGGTCCAGTGTTGCCAGTCTTATACAATTATACTAGATCTAGTACATTCTTTGAGAATCTAGTACTCACAAAGCAAAAACTAGTACTTTTTCTTTTTATATGGTATGTTATTGTAGTTCTAGGGGTCCTTATTGTTTTGACCACACTTCACAATTAGAAAAATCTGGTACATTTTATAGAATCAGGTACAATTTCATGTAATCTGATACATTTTTTAGACAAATATGGTACATTACAAAAATATATTCTGGCAACACTGATTTGGTCCCTTTCTAGGGATTTTTTGAGTTGGAGCTGGTGGTTGGTGGCAATGATCAATGATGGTTATCCCATAGATAAATTAATATAAAACGCACCATACCATCCATACAATGTCCATACTATTGCTGAGATTTTTAAAAGACGGGATTGACAACCTTGTAAAAAATGAAAAACGTGATGGCGGAAGGCGAGATATGATAAAATAAAACTTATTTTTATTTTATGATGTAAGTTACATAGGTAGGTAAGTTATTTTTAGGTTAAGAAACAAACGGTGCTGATTTGATGTAATTAGTAAGTATTAACTTTAATTTAATATTAAGTATTTAAGGACTTTGTTTATCATTGTTTTCTTAGCCTTAATGATATATAGGTATCTAATTTCATATTTCAACAATTCCTTTTCTAATATTTGAAACAAAAATGTCTGGCCCGGGTATAGTTAAGTATTCTTGTTCAGCTCCTAATTGTTTAAATAAGTATTATTCTAATATTCAGCAAGTTGGTTATTCAAATAAAGCATTTTTTCATTTTCCTTCTGATGTTAAAGTTCGCCAGAACTGGTTTAAGAATTTAAATTTAACTTTAGATGATAATAATACTCGCTATCTTTGTGAAGATCATTTTTTGCCAGTCTTTTAGTAAGGTTTGCTCAAAACGTAAACGACTAGTTGTACATTCTTTACCAATTTCTTTAGATAATTATGCATCCAGTTCAAATATACAACCCGAGAGCCAGATTTCAGAATATATTGAGGCTGAAGCACAAACACAGCAGCATAAGATAGATTTGCTAATCAGCAACGAAAATCAAGAAATTAGTTGCAAACGTAAACTAAATATTAGTGATGTACAATTTGAACAACCCTCCATACGGAGAAAAACTGTTTTGCAACAAATAAATGAAAGTAAAGTCCCAAAGAGAAAAAGCTGTATTTTATTAATAGAGAACAAAACGTTAGAATTTGTAAGCTAAAGAAAGCTCTACGTGTTTCCAAAAATAAAATCAAGAAAGCCTTTGAATTATCCAAAACTCAGTTATTTTCAGATTTTAATAATAAATTAGATCCGAATGGAATTAAATTCTTTAAAAGTAGTTTAGAAAATTGTAAGAGAAAGAAACCCTCTTGGACCACTCAGAATAAAATTTTTTCTTTAGCATTATATAAAAATGGTCCAAGAGCATATAATTTTTTAAGAAAATGCATTTCGTTGCCTAGTAAATCTACTATCCAACAAATTTTAAGTGATTTACATTTTGAAACGGGGATAAATGATTCAGTGTTTTCCAGATTTAAAGAAATTGTTAGAAAAATGCCAGAAATTGATAGGAATTGTATTTTAATGTTCGACGAAATAGCTCTAACCGAAAAACTCACTTTTGATACAGTTAATGACAAAATTGTTGGATATGTTGACTGCGTCGTTCTCAATCTTCGTCAAATAATTAAAAATAACTTAGTTTTATAAAAATGGTCAACATTTTGATAAGAGAAATTGTTCAATAACATATATGTACACTTTTTGTTTTGTTTTTATAGGAAACACCTGACGCCCATCAAAGTATGGTCCATTTTTACAAGAATGTGGGGAAACTAGTATTCATTTCACTTACAATTGTTCTTTATTAACACATTATGTATGTATTACTGTGTAATAAATAATTTAAATATATTTGTCTTATATTTTATTTCAGTGTAAATATTTTTTGTCTACATTTTTGTATACATTTTTTGGGGTTTTATAACTAAAAAAAACTAATATATATGTTAAATACAATATTTTAATATAAATATTAGTTTTTCTTTTTAAAGTAATGAACCCCAAAAAATATAAATAAATAAATAAAGATATTTAAATGAACCGCGGTTACGTTAACACTCTTCTTTTTTTATGCCTCTTACTGACAAATCAATCAGCCAGTGTAGTTCAAAAAAGATCCGTTCCATACTAATTCGCAGCACTACGTTTCCAAAGATTAACACAGAATCCGACCATCTTCTTTATTAGTTTATCTATGGGTTATCCTGAAAACAAAAATTTAATTTCCCTGCCACATTTGAATGAAAAAATATTGAAAACTGTTAAACGCAATTAAAATGGATATCGAAGAAAACAAAGTTCTACAAGAAGAACAATTTATCCTTCGCTTACCGTTGGTAAATACTTAGTATGGGGTATAGAAATAGCTCCATAAATAAAAATATCCTATTTTTTAGGAAGAGGCAAAGCGTATTCGAGAAGTATTACGCAATAAACCCGAAAAATTAAAGAAATTGATGAAAATTTCGGTCGATTTAAATGATAATAAGGTTTTACTAAATCTAGGGAAAAATAAACTGTATGGTTCCATAAAAAAACTCCCAACTTTGATCGAGTCTTATAAAACTAATATTTGCAATAACAAATCTTTATTATACAAAACAGCCGACATTTGTCATATCGTTGAATGTGTTTATGAAGAACGGGCGAAAGAAAAAAATGAGACAATACATGGAATCTGTCCTCCACTGAAGAATGTCAAGAAAAAGAGATTTAGGAAAACTCTATTTAACAAAGATTTTGCTGTAGAAGCTGAGAAAGTGTCCAAAGAATTATATTATTTGCTGAGTACTGATCTAGAGGCTGTTAGTATTGTTACATTTAATTTTAACCCCTTTTGTGCAGAAAATAGATAATATTGGTTCTTTCGTTCGCTGTTGGTGCAGTGTTCACCAGTGTAAATTACACCAATTGCACCCACCACCTTTATTTACCTAGTTTACTTCCTCCGTGTTCCTGATTAACATGTCGAGTGTAATTCACTCCTGAAAGAGCTGGTCGGTGTAGAAAATATCCACCAGTGGACACCACATCACCGACAGTAAGGTATAGTGGATTTTACACCAAGTCAAACGAAAGGTTTGGTGTGCATTGGTGTAGTTCGTTCCTACACCAGTGGGACGAACGAAAAAACCTTATACATGCATATATAGGTGTAGAAAAAAATACTTATATAGTAGGGTTGCCAACACCATCATTTTGACCTATGGATTTTGGGTTTGGCCATCATATTATCCATCAGGCTCCATGCACTATGAATAGAAATAAATAGAGCTTATTCATATAGCTCTATTTTAAGAGGGCGACACAAGGGCAGATAGATAAGCAGATTAGGAGAAAGAAGAGAAAAAAATTAAAGAGCAAAAAAAGATATTCTATATATTCCTTCAACAAAATTATTTTTTCACAGGAACAGCGCTTAATCACAATGTTGGCAATTCTATTATTATAGGTACTAAATTTAAAAAAGAATTATTTTGCTTTTAGTGCTCTTCGAAATTTGAAATAATATATGAAGGTGACCCAACTGAAAAAGCTAAAAAACAATGTGGTAAATATATTGTATTTCATTTATAAAATATACCTATACAGGTGAATCTTAAGTGGATACTTTTTAAGGTTTCGTACCTGAAGGGTAACCAAATGGTTACTAAGTCTCTACCTAGACAACACACCAAATCCCAGAAATATCCACAGAATATATTTTGTGGATATACAATATATGTCCGTCTATATCCAGGATATAGAAGATATCCTATGGATATCCAACAAAATAATCAATGACAAGATATCATAGATATCCAGTGGATCTGAGATCGGCGTGGTGTATCTCATGGTCCGTAATAGGTAGACCCTTGAAATTTTCAAAGAATATATATTTCTGTTGCCGCTATAACAAAAAACAAGAAAAATAAATTAAAAATTTAAGGGGACTCCCCTACTAGAAATGTGTATTTTTTGTGCTTTTTTTGCTTAATTAGCAGAGCTACATAGTAGGGTTGTAACGGAGGCCTTCTTAGCGGATGTGGAGGTTAACGGAGGCGGAGGTAAAAGTGGATATGGAAAAATATTAATTTATGGTTTATCAAAAGTAAAAAAATCTTTATTTCAAATAGGTTCATTGTTAGTACACTTTAATAAACACCAAAATTAGCAATCAAAATCACTAGTAATCAAAATTAAGGAGAGTCAAATTATATTTAACAAATTACAGTTTTGCGGCTTTGTCACCTTCCAGGCGATTTCTAAGAGGATCATAAATTAAGCCAGCTGAACTAAATAATTGTTTATACTTGGCACTGAACTGGGCGGCGCCGATAAATACGTGCGAACGATGGGATAAAAAGCTTTATAATTAGTAGTATTTCTCCACCATAATAAAGGACCATTGTTTAAATTGAGTCGGTTTTCTTTATTATATTCACTAATTAGTGATTTCCATATTATGAGGTTTCTATTGCTGCTGTTATTTTCGGTTTCCTCCTCACCGTCACTGATATTTGTCAGCCAGATTGGAATGTACACTTTTTATTGGTGGTAAAATCTGGAAACTTGTGCTCGGTTCATCATGTACCGATTGAAGTAAATACATCTCCGTTATAACTCCGCAAATATTGACGGAGGCGGAAGCGGAGGCGAAGGTACGATTTCTTGCGGAACTTCCGCAGTAACGGAGGCGAAGGCGAAGTTCCGTTACAACCCTACTACATAGTATTAAATCTTAAATGATGGTGCGGAACAATTAAGGCGCGAGTCCGACTCGCACTTGGCTGGTATTTTAAACTGTTTATAAAAATCATTAAAATAAATAATTTTTTTTAAAAAAGCTCAAAATAAGAACATTAATTTATTCCATACTGTATACAATATGGTCCTGTCTCAATTAAATATAATATGTGTTCTAAATTGTCACCAATTAATTCTTCCCATGTGTTTACCGGCATCTTCCCAGACAACACACCAAATCCCAGAGATATCCACAGAATATCTTTTGGGGATATCCGATATATCCACAGGATATCATAGATATCCCGTGGATCTAATATGGATATCCCAATGTCCGTCTATATCCAGGATATAAAAGATATCCTCTGGATATCCAGCAAAATATCTAATGGGTATCTCCCAGACAATACACGAAATCTCAGAGATATCCACAGAATATCTTTTGTGGATATCCAATATATCCACAGGATATCATAGATATCCAGTGGATCTAATATGGATATCTAAATGTCCATCTATATCCAGGATATAGAAGATATTCTATGTATAATGTATATGCAGTAAAATATGTAATGGATATCTTTAGTAGAGGTTCATAAGTAACCACTGGATATATCCTATAGATGTTTAACATATCCAGTGTACATCCATTATTTCATATTAAGATATCGAAAATTATTTACTTATAGGGTGTCGTATTTAATGCTTCATTAATTTTTTTTTTTTTTTGAAAGATAAGTGGAACAATGAACTGCATAATTTAAATACCTTCCACATGAAGGAAATCAGTATTTCAGTAGCATAACATCAGGTTATTTTATAATTTTAATTAAAACGCCTTCTATTTACTATACTAATCCCAGATAGCACACGACGTCTGAAAGACGTCTTTTTTGTGTCTTGGTTTGGTCTCAATGTCCTAGGACGGTATTAAGACGTCTTGCAAAAACCATAATTCAGAAGTATTAATGTGAGAGCTCAAAGACGTTCTTAAGACGTCTTGCCAAATCCATATATTAATGTAAAAGCTCAAAGACGTCTTACAAACGTCTTTCAGTCGGACGGAAACTTGCATGGTTTACATAATTCAAAGTTTGACGTTTGAGTTAACATTACATTCAAGCCGGACACCGTCGTGGCAACATTGAAATGGCGGTCTCCGAATCAGGAGCCTAGAAGTCCCATAAAAATCACAAAATATCTAGTATAAAAGTGACAATCTGACTTTAAAAAGTTTACAAAATTAAACAAAATATTGAGTGCAATATTTGGAGAAGAATATTGAAATCAAATATCAAAAGTGCAGTGGAAAAGTGAAAAGATTGAGCCCATCTAAAACAAAGAAAAGAAGAAGTACATTCAAGCCCAAGCAAAAAATTTGTATGAACCAAGCTTATTGTGAATTATTGATTATTTTATTGCGTACGCGATTTATAGCCACCAAAAGCGACTTTGAGCTATTTTGAGCATTTGTGTCTCTTTCTACTTAAATAATATGGGACAAAAACCAGAGAGAGAATAATTTCTTTTGCCGATGTAGAACGTTCCTGGAATACAGGTAATAAATATTTGTTTATATACATACAACATTAATATCCTGTATCTTCTAAGAATAATTAAATTATTTTAAACGTAAACTTCTTAATATAAGATTTAATTTAAATATTCGTGAATTATCATTTTTGCTATTGTTTTTATGGAGATTTTGAGAACTATTAACACGGCATAAGAAACAATCGGCAGGCTAACTTGTCTTGGCGGCAACGCTACGCGCACATCTACGCGCACACCGCCATTTTGGAGTCCAACCTCTCAATAAAGCCAGTGGCGTCACTGTCGTCATTTATATCGACAAAAACAAGTTGCAGCGGCTCGGAATCAGTAGCGTGTGTCTTAAATTTATTTTGTTTGTGATGTGTGTATTATGTAGTTATTGTTATTTTTTTAGAATTATAGATATTTTTTGACACTTTTTATATACTAGTTGTTTTCCAGTATTAATTTGCTAACTTTTACGTGTTTTACTATGTCTGGGCAAAGTTGTGCAGCAAAAAACTATATGAATAAACTGTATTAAAAGAATTTTTGGGTTTCTTAGGTTCGATTCCATCGTTGTGTTAAACGAAGTTTAAAATGACATTTTTACATTAACAATGTCATTTTAATCTCCGTTTAACACAACGGTGGAATCGACCTTAAGCAATTATTTAACATAAAATTTTACAATTTTTGGCAATTTAAAAATGTCAGATAATAGTTTTGTATGTTTAATAACAAAAATTGAAATAATTTTTCAACAAAATTTTGAATTATTTATCACTAAATCCGGCGTTTGTAATTTTTTTTACATTTAATTAATTCCGAGATAACATTTGACGCTCCTTGTCCAGAAATATATGTTATTAAGTTATATTTAAGGCTACTCATATATTACACTTTAAAAATATTAATAGAAATTTTAAGACCATCAATAAAAACAAGCTAATTATTTGGCGCAATATGTAGAGCATATTGTCTTTCTTAGTGCTGTTCTTATAAGTTAAATTAAAATATATTTCATGTAAATTTTTACTTTTTTGTTTTAATACGATCCTGCCTATCAATACCTTATTTTATTACAAAATCTTTAAATACGCTTTAATCCGACCCTGACTAAGACCCCCGAATGGCGTCGCCAAGGTTAAATTTTCTTAGCATAATATTTATATGCGATCAGCGGCGAGTGAGCCTGCCGATTGTTTCTTATGCCGTGCTATTAATATCAAAAACTCCCTATTATAGCCATTTTGAATGAAGTTAAAGTAGGCGATTAAGCATAATAGCTCATATTGCATTAAATGATTATAAAAATTCTTTGATTTAAAATTCTAAGAAATTAATTTTTGTTTTGTTTTATAGATAACTGTTCTTTCGGTTTTTACTAACTTTTGCAAAGTATAATTTTCTGTGACTAGATGCTCTTAACTAAATTTCTTTTTAGGAGCTATACAAAGGCAACTACAAATCAAAGAGAAAAATCAATCCAGTTATGGCTAAAGAGGAGTAATCGAATGCGCTACAAAGAAAATACCTCTTAGTGACCTGTGATTGATATTTTATCAATAAATATTTTAATTCTATTTTTTACATTATTTATAATCTGCAAGGTTGTTTTACTTTTAAATAACCAAGATATCCGACGTCCTACGTTCATAAGACATCTTAAAGACGTCTTATTTATGGCTTCACAAGACTATTATAAGCTATTAATAAGTCGTCTTAAAGACGTCTTATTTATGACTTATTTAAAGCTTCACAAGACCGTTATAAGCCATTAATAAGACGTCTTATTTAAGGCTTCACAAGACCATTATAAGCTATTAATAAGCCGTCTTATTTAAAGCTTCACAAGACCATTATAAGCCATTAATAAGACGTCTTAAAGACATCTTATTTAAGGCTTTACAAGACCATTATAAGCAAATTCCAGGCATAAAGTCCGATCACTGTGTTTTTGACAAAGAATGTGCATGTTATAAAAGAGCAATTGATCAAGCCAAATCAAAAACTCAATATATATAGCAACCATCAAAAACCTATACCGGAACCCAAAAAATAATTTGCCTTAATATCCAAGGATTAACATCACACATTGATGAGCTACGTACACTTCTTTTTACCGAGAAGCCTTTACTAGCAACTGTTACAGAGACACATATCACTGACGACATAGATGAAAGTGAGTATAAAATATTAAATTATAACCACATTGTAGTTGAATCAAAGAGTCGTCATACAGGGGGGTGCATCATTTACTTAAATGAAAATGTAAACTTCTCTATTCTA